ATCATTATTGCTCCAAGCTTTTCCAGTACAGATCTTAAAATGATGAAACCCTTCAAATAAAAATAAGGCTACCTGATGTCGATATTTCAATCTGCAATGTACAGGAAAACGTGGTGGTCTAAATGTTTTGGGTCACATTTAGAAGTAAACTACTTTTAAAATGATTTGAAATATCAAATCCAAGCCCAGAAACGGACCGAGCAACGAGCAAGTAATAATTGGACTCTTTTAAAGGAAAATTCGGCGGGGGAAATCATGGACGGTATATTGCAAAGGACACGTTGTTTTAAAAGATCTCAAACTAGAATTCTCATTTTTACTGTTTTTGCAGCTGAATTTTGTTTCGAAGATTTAAGAACTCTATCTGATATAATCTTAGGGTGCGAAGTATNNTTTTTTGGGCTCTAGAAGCTGCTCTCTTCTTCCTTTCGACGGCCGCATCATGCACACATCCTACAGGTAAGACTCTCGTCGGCAGCGCTCTGGCATTTACTGTCGCATTTTGGTACTCCGAAAAATCGAATATACTGGGTACAGCATCATCTTTTAGTTTTCTCCGTGCTTTTCCACCGCACAATTCAGCTCGCAGGTCACGTACGAAGCATTCCGGCTCGAAGTGGTCGCTACAGATCCTCGCGTGTTTTGACACTGTGCTGGGATTTTTTCACTTCAGAGAATTGAGCCAAATTTTACGTTTTGCGGCATCCGCAGGCAGGATATAATAGCAGATGTCTTTCTAATCGTAACCTACATTACGGCACCCGGGAGCAACACAACTTTGCGGCATTTTGTTTTTCTGACACCTGGATGTTTAGTCACCTACTGCAAAGTACTGTATATACTATTACTTGTACAGCTGTGGGAAGCTACTACCCAGGTTACGTCACTAGAAACTGACCAATCAGAATTTTCTCATCTAAATCTCATCTTTCTCTCTAAAACTTAAAAAGAACAATTTTTTGACGTCGATTTATAGTTTTTATACTGTAGAAAAAGCAGTGAACGCTATGTGTTCCTAGAGCACAGTAGGCCTTTAAGGCCGTTAGCCGAAAGCAGCCACGTGACTCTTTTAAAATCGGCAATTAGAGCGTTGGCAGCGAGCAAGGAAGAAGCGTGTAGGGAGCAGGCGCTCTCCCTCTTCCTCCGGTGCTTCATAGTTATTGCGTTTTTATTTTAAACTACCTGTTCTTTCCTATACAGAGATTGCTGTTAGCCTCTTCTCTAACTTTCCTTCAGCATTGGAAGGTCATCTGCTCCCATTCCGAATGTAGCCAAGTTCTTAATCTCACATTTAGTTATGTTTTGTATAATTAACATGTATTCTTCTGGTTCATTTATTGTATCATATAATTTGGATAAGGTTCTGGATAAGCTTTGAATATCCTTTGAATTAAAATACTTTTGGAATTTTCATAATCACGTATATAAAAACGTTACTCGGATAAACCGATGAAGTCAATTTCTGAATTTCTGTAGATGTCAATCGCAAAAGTGAGTAAAATATATACAATTTTTATGTATGATGCTTACTAAGTATATGGGCAGGAATATACATGTATTATATTTTACATAATGACCAAAAAGGCATTTGTTCATTTGCTGTGAGAAGTGATGAAGAAAGTCTCATTTTTTGCAGGCTTTCACAAGCAAACAAAAACACGCATATGCACAGATACGCACTGGAAGCTGTATGAGTTTAAGGTACTTGTCAAAATTAGGAAAAACGCTTATGACGCAGAATCATAATAAGCAAGTACCAAATTAAGCAAAGAACTACATTATTAATGTCCAGGGAACAACATACATGTATCTTGTCAAGAAATGATTACTATTCAGCTAATCCAACACACATCTTCGTACGGGAGAACAACCCATTTATCTCAGGATGCGTATTTATGTGTGGCGTTTTTTTTTTAACAAAAATAAATTGATCTAGTTTCAATTTGAAATTTCTATTTGTAAACCTGTTCGTGACACTCCCCACCCACCACGCGAGGTTGGTTCATGTAGAACTCGCTCTCGATGTATGTGAACGCAACATTTGACACGAGGTGAGGTGTTACCCAACACGAAGCGACATAATCCCACGAAAACCACGATAACCCAGGTGGGACTGGATTAACGTGATGATGGGAGCCCATAAGTAGTTTGCTCCTTGACACCGGGTTACTGTTGATAGAGGTGGACGATTCTTAAGGTAGGTACTAAATTGGTACTCATAATCATGGGAAAAGTGATCTGAATGCTTAACGGTTCTATGTAAAATCTTTACTGGGATAACAAAGAATAAACAGTTTTGCCAGTGAGGCATGGACAGTCTAAGCGTTTCTTTTGAAAAAAATTATGTTTAATAATTAGGCAGAGAATTCTGGAAAGTGTACTTGGTATTTCATCTAGACAATTAAGTCTTTACTGTCGTGACCACGCAGATTATTAGCGACTTGTTTTTAGTGTACTGAGTGAACCAAAACGTATGATTTGCTGTCTTTTAATGTGTAAAAAACCCAATGAGTTATAACCGGAAAAAAAGTTCATAAACTTATTCAATCCAAACATCGTCTGAGTTCTTCTTCTCACCAGTTGCATTTAGGATGTGAAAAAGATAACGATTTACCAGAAAGACCTAAAATGCAATTCTAAATGTACATGTCTATTCAATCGAATCTAAAATCAAAGTAAATACTTGTTTATTGTAGGTTACCAAAGGACAGGAGAGGTAGAATAATGAAACAATTGCTCACGATAGCCTTGCTGATATGTGCCCAGCTGGTTAAAGGCCAAGGTGAGGAAAACCATATTTGATGAGGATGTATTAAAACTAAATTAGGGTGGACGAAAAAGAAGCATAATTTTTAGAAATTTTACTAAATGCCTCGAAATTTTTTTCGCCTGCAGATAACCTTTTTCTCGAACAAAATGCTTCAAGCAAAACAGCACCTGAAATGAATACCTGCGAAACATAAGAGCCATATTATGGAACCCCTAAAAGATACATGTTAACCATAAATCTAAAGCAAACAACCTACTATATATTTCAAGCTGCGTATTTAGTGGAATATTTTCCAGCTGACGGTATAGGCTCTTATCTGTCATATGTATAGCGTGGGGTGAAAAAGAAAGACGCAGAACAAAATAAAAAGCTAATTTAAGATAAATTTTGTGATATTTTGGAACTTTACCCTTGCACCAATGCCCACGTTTAATCGATAATAAGACGAAACATTAAACATATACATGTACTTGTTTTGGGTATCAGTGAGATATCGCCTTGCTCATTTAAAACTTGGTTTCTATCTTTCACAATTAAGTTTTCTTTTAATTTTAAGACCGCAAATTAATCCATCCTGATTAAATACTTTGTTAACACATGCAAAAGCTACTGTTATTAAGTCATCGTTGCCAAGCCAACAATTTCACAGAATGAAATGAATAATGTTTCTGCAATACGGCTATTGCAAAGGAAAGGATTGTTCATTTGAATGTCATGGCCTATCGTGACGGCAGATTAAAGCCAGTCCTCAAGTTATGTAGACCAAATATCGCTTCCATGAGGCTTTTTTAATCGCTGTCACCGTTAGTGGTATCAAAGGAAATACCATGCACTCTAAAACTCAAACTGCATATTGGCTATGCTTTATTTCAAATTTGAAATCTCTTGAACCAGTGATTACCGGCATCTCTTTTATATAAACAAAAGACATGCAATAATTACATACACGGCGTGACGACACTTACGTCGCACGCCGTGTTAGTTACGTCACTTTATGCCGACACATGGAGCACAGGCTTCAAACAACTGCGCATGCACGAAAAGTGCGCTGTTTGAAATAAACAAGTTGGTGAAATTGACAAAGCCTGCCGGTGGTTACCGTCTGGCTGATTTTATTTCATTTGCTCTCTGGTGTCTTTTTGAAATTTTAAATTAGAAATGTTTTATTGATTTTGTGTTTTTAAAAGTAAATCCATCGGAATTCCTTAGAATAACATTTATTTTAGCTTCATTACAAGTGGATTCCCATTGTATTTATAGTGTTATATGTGGCCCCAATTGGGATTTTTCACCCCTCCCCCACTCTTGATACATAAAATGCGCCATGTGCCAGATTGAAAATGACATTGCAAAATGTATTTAAAATCGTAGGAAGGTTGATTGCAGATAATGCTGCGAGGACATTCTTGTTCCAGGGCGAACTCGGCCAATATAAATTTTTTAACTTCGTCTCCCGGTTTTGCAGCGCCAGTTCTAATTTTTGAAAGCGAGGCAATGGAACCAAACAATACGATGCAATTTGTAATCTCGTAAAAATTGCTATTTTTCAATAAAGACCATAGCATGGAGTAAATCGAAATGCAACTTTTTTATTATTATGATCTTTAATAATCATTAATATAAAATGTACGATTTAAGAAGTTCTTGTTCCCGGCCTTTTTATTAACTTAATTGATTTTTTAAAGTATTTGGAGATTAAAAACACAAAAGTTGTCTGGTTTCATATCGAGGCACTCCGTTTCGTTCGTGTGCTGACACATGGTAATTATTTCAGTTCTTTAATTTAGAGTATCTGGTGTTATCATTATCAAACTGTGAATTATTATAATTAATATTAATTATTAATTATGTTGAGCACTCTGTTCCACACTCACAAATGTTATATATATATATATATATATATATATATATATATATATATATATATATATATATATAACAAAAATAGCAGAGGTTAAAGGGATTATAAGTATTTAATCAGGATGGATTAATTTGCGGTCTTAAAATTAAAAGAAAACTTAATTGTGAAAGATAGAAACCAAGTTTAAAATGAGCAAGGCGATATTTGGTCTACATAACTTGAGGACTTGCTGATTAAATACTTTGTTAACACATGCAAAAGCTACTGTTATTAAGTCATCGTTGCCAAGCCAACAATTTCACAGCACGAAATGAATAATGTTTCTGCAATACGGCTATTACAAAGGAAAGGATTGTTCATTTGAATGTCATGGCCTTTCGTGACGGCAGATTACAGCCAGTCCTCGAGTTATGTAGACCAAATATCGCTTCCATGAGGCTTTTTTAATCGCTGTCACCGTTAATGGTATCAAAGGAAATACCATGCACTCTAAAACTCAAACTGCATATTGGCATTGCTTTATTTCAAATTTGAAATCTCTTGAACCAGTAATTACCGGCATCCCTTATATATATATATATATATATATATATATATATATATATATATATATATATATATATATAACAAAAACAGCTGAGGTTAATAATCCCTACCAGTTTCAGTCTATAATCAGTATTATATATCATTGTGTCACACTGATACGGGTTGGGGTTTAGTAAACACTGCTGTTTACGTTTATATATAATATAAAAACTCTGTACCAAGAATATAAAAAATATGTGATACTTTTACCACAAAAACGTCGTTTATTTCAGATGTAAGAGCACGCAGTTTGTTCGACTCTCCCGAGTTCCTAAAATGTGGCACCAAACCTGGGCCTGCGCTGGATTTGGTCAAAGCGTTCCGTGCCACCGGCCAAGTTGTCAACGAACTGAAATCTATCGTACCCGGCCTTCAGAATCACATCCGTGGTGGCATAGAGGACGTTGCTACCTCTTTACATGACGTCATCAATGCAATCGCAAATGACGTCAAGTCGGATTGTAAAGAAGAAGGTAGTTTTTTAATTGATGGAAATAACATAAGGAACTTATTGATGACATAGAATTGGAACAAATACCAGTAGTTTTATATTTTGTCATAGTGTTCGTACGTTACATCGTGTTTCCCGGTGACATATCTTTAAGTAGCCGGTGTGTATACGTATGCGATTAAGTCAAACTTTTGCCTCAGTGGCATTATCGGGCGGCGGGACAATAGAACAATTAGATTCATTGCCAAAGGTGAGGTAGTCCTAAATCCTCACTAACACCCATCTCCTCCTTGCTTTTGAATTCTCCTTTCTGACTGTATTTACATGTATGTCCTTATCACATACTGGACACATTCATAATTATTGAAAAATAAAAAGAAAAGAGATATATTTGCGGACAGTTGTCTATTTGAAATATCGAAAGCTAATAGATGTAATATATAAATATATAGATTCTATACACATGTTACTAAAACTTCAAGGTCTTTAAACGTCTACTTTCCAGTTCGCAAAGGTCGCGGTCTGTTTGACACCTTGGAGTCGTTGACATCTGGAACTCAACTAGGAACCGCTCTGAAGGTGATCAACGCTGTAGGCATGACCCAGCGTTTCCTCAGTGAACTTAAACAACTTGTCCCAGATATCCAGAAACATCTCAACGGAAGTATTGACGATATCACTACTGCTCTTCATAACATTGTCAACTCCATCACAGATGAAGTTCTATCTGGGGGAAATGTTGGAGGTGAAAGTTTCACTTAAAGTTTTGGTTATGTTATTTACAAACAGTATAACTGATCATTTGTAAGTCCTTTCAAACATTGTAGAATGTTGCTGTTTCTTCATTTTGAAGTTTGTTTCATGCTCTTCAGAGTCAAATGTATGCATTTTCTGTATACTGTCCTTTGACGAAAAGTTTCAATATTCTTTTCCAAGAGGTACTTGCACCAAGTTAATTGTTTATATATACTATCATCTTTCAGATCGCAAAGGTCGTGGTCTGTTTGACACCTTGGAGTCCTTGACATCTGGAACTCAACTAGGAACCGCTCTGAAGGTGATCAACGCTGTAGGTATGACCCAGCGTTTTCTCAGTGAACTTAAACAACTTGTCCCAGATATCCAGAAACATCTCAACGGAAGTATTGACGATATCACTACTGCTCTTCATAACATTGTCAACTCCATCACAGATGAAGTTCTATCTGGGGGAAATGTTGGAGGTAAATGGATTTTCTCGGTGGTTGGTCTTTCTCTTTTATACCTTTACGAAACAACGTTTTTTTTTTTAAAGTAGATAAGTGAAGCGAATGCCATTGGTCATTTATAAGACTGTGATATACTTTATGTTGTTGGTTACTTGATATTTTGATGCAGTGTTGTTGATTATTTATCTACAGATCGTAAAGGGAGAGATATTTTCGATATGGAAACAGCTCTGAATCTGATCAAAGACGTGGAAAACACTAAACGATTCGTCAATGAAATTAATGACATTGTCCCCGGTCTTGGAGAACGTTTAAAGAAGACGTTGGAGGAGATTTCCTCCGCCTTGCACGCCAAAGTCAGCTTAGTAACCGAAGAAATAATGGCTGCACTACAGTAATTGGTAATTGTTTTTTTTTTCCTTTTTGCTCCAAATCCACTAAAGAATTCTCGTCTTGTCTTGCGAGATTCACGTCGTCGCTAACGATATGCAGGGAGTCAAGCTCCTATTTTTTTCCTATTTGTTATTTTTTCCTATTCTAAATCATGTTACTCTGCCTGTCCACGAGTCTGTGTACCATTGCTTTAGTAATTTCTGCTATCTCCTCCAAGACAGTTAGAGCTAGGATGTTGAAACTTTGGGAATGTATAGACCTATCATCAGGGATATGTATGGATACTTCGGAATTGTAGTGCAACAGGACATTGGACTGTCCCTGGGGTGGTCGATTCTTTATTTTTTTACATTGTAATTTCTGCTAACTCCCCTAGATCATTACAGTTAGGAAGTTGAAACTTTGCGGATTAATAATAGACCAGGCCTGTAGCCAGGGAGGGTTCGGGGGGGTTCGAAAGAACCGTCTCTTTTGACAGGAAAAGGTCTGTTGTGGATAAAAATTTTATCTAGGTACACATAAATTTCATTGTAAAAGGTCCATTTTTTTCAGAAAAAGAACCCCCCTTTTGAATTTGCTGGCTACGGGCCTGTATACCTATACTTCAGAATTTTAGTGCAGCTAGGGGTTGGGTTGTACCTGGGGGATGGTTAGCTCTAAATTCTTTTCACAGTGTAATTTCTTCTGGCCCCTATCAGGCCATAAGATTGAGGAAGTTCAAATTCTGGGAATTGATCAATCTATGATCAGGGATGAGCATGGGCACCTCAGAATTTTTGTCCGGGGGGGGGGGGGGGGGGTTTGAGCTGGTCCTTTGGGGTCGATGGTTGTTCATTCTTGCCACATTGTAATTTCGGCTTACTCCTCCCAGATTATTAAAATGAGGAAGTTTAAACTTAAGATATTCGCAGACATATCAACACAAATGTGGGCATTTCACAAAATTTAGTGCTTCTTAGGGTTTGGATGTCCTTGGGGGGGGGTGATTTTTGACCTAATTCCTTTGCACATTGTACAAGTCCATTCTTCAAGTTCTGCTATCTCCTCCTCTAGATCATTGATATTAATGATCTGAAGTGATAACCCTCTCATCAGGGCTGTGGATGGGCCAGTCATATTTCATGAACACATTGGGGATGAGCTGTTCCTGGAAAGGGGGGGGGGAGTGGATGACACTTTTTTTACATTCAGCGTTCTTCATCAATATTATTTTATGCTGTTATTATAAGACTTATTTGCAATAAGTATACATAAAGGACTCGGGTATTGTCATAGATAATCAGTGGTGACCCTGAATGTGAGCTCCTCTTTACAATTTGGGGAAATGCAGGTATTTGTAATGGGTACCCATTGGAACCATCTAGTTCAATTTCTACACCACCAAGGATGAAAATAAAGCACCATAACTATATCAACTCCAAAACAGCAACGGTATAACTATGATTATATGGTGCAATTGTATAGATACTTGTTGCAAACACAATCTTGTAAAAAACAAGTCCCCTCAACTTCCTGTTTGGCACATTCAGAATATAAAATGAGGTTTGCCAAATCATCCTCAAAATTTTTACTTTTACACAGTGAAATTGAGGATGTTAATTCAACATTCACAGTCATAAAACTCCAAATTGTAAAAGGCAATTATTGTTTATGAGGACAGATAGGACACATAGAGCTGGTCCTGTTTATTCACATTTTAACTTAGATATAACGAAATTGGGCCGTGAAGGTGTCTTCATGTTTTTTCCAGTATTTTTCGGTATTTGTACAGCCCCTTTGTTGTTAGTTTTCTATTGGATCTTATATCTTAGGTAACAAAAATTTCTTATGGACAATTCCGAATCATTATTTCTAACCTGTAACATATTTGTTTTGTTGTAGGTTTGCTGAAAGATTACCTGTGAACGTGGTTACAGGTATGATATGAATGTGTATGTATTAGCATTTATCAGATCTTACTATTACAAGAGGATGTCAATGTTACATTCATTTACTTTATACGTATATCGTGGGTAAGGAATTAAGTAAGGAAACAAGTCCCATTTTAATGAACGAAACTTTATTGAAACGAATGAAATAACATTAAATATCTTGGTAATGGTACGGACATGTGTATTTACATTATGTACTCGTTTTTAATTCCTATCAAAAATCCTTATAACAATCTATTTGGAATTAAATAACGTAAGTGCTTTTCTTTCCTTGTTTGCAGGACATCAGCCGACACACTGGAAAACTCTAATAACATCTCTGAAATTCTGTAAAGTCATTTATTTTTGATAAAACTTAGCTTTCATCAGAAATAAAGAAACAAGGTACCATCTGTGCTACCAAAGACGGCTTTCAAAGTGGCCTATATTGCTTCAATGTGATAAATAGCCAAAGCAGTGCGTTTTCGCCTGTTCTGGCGTGTAATATTGTTACATTTTTGTAGCTACCAAGTGCTAATTGGTTCATTTTGTCAATACATCTTATGTATACTTTTTGACCTTTCACGTTAACGCCTATGTATAACTACTTGACGCCCTTTCTTAACTGCCAATATTTTCCATGGTGCATACATACTTGCTTCTTCATCTCCAATTTCACCCGCTGTGCGCGTTGATACTTTGACCAGCATGATAACACGAGGCTTATAAGTGTAATTAATACTGTATCATCACCCTAGTGTGACTAGTGCGTCATTTATAATCATCATTGATTTCCTGGACAGCGAATGTTTTTTGGATCAGGCATAGCGGGCTGGAACTCTATTTCATATGATGCAAATAGGCCTCTAAAACGGGGATGTTTTGACATCTCTTTGTGAATCACATCGCAAATTATACCAAGGAGCGAATTTAAATAAACAAGTAAATCACATTGGCTGGAAAGAATACGATAAAGCACAAACACATCTTCAATGTAATGTTAACTACAAAGAAATCACAAAATAGAACACACCCATGTATACGGTGCGACATAATTATATGGTGTGTGTTAGCTATAGGCTAACCCAAATATATGCAATAAACTACAAAACCGGAAAAAATCTCTGTTGTTCACCGACAGAATATATGCAACACGGTTTATCGTGATAGCTAAGTAGGAAAGTGACAAATATGAAATACGCCCAGGTCTACGGCAGATTGATAAATGGACCCTAACGAGCATGGAATGCAGACTTAGATGAAGGGAATGAAAGGGATAAGAGGTATTGAGGTGGGTAAATACATCTCGATCGCGACCAGTCGTGACAAATGACCTTGTTCTAAGAATTACTTCCTGTACATCGGAGATCTATATGTCTCCTTATTACACCAGACTGACAAACGTAAAATAGATCTATACAGATGCCTACAACGTCCGCTTCCAACAGAACTACTGCCGCGGCGCACACGGTTTCACTTGTATGTCATAATAATATAACCTTTCAAGTCGCGCTACTAAAGCTAGGTCACCCTATCTCGGCGCAACACCTCTCTTCGTTTAATTAAGTCAGCCAAACTTGGCTGAAGCAGAAATTGTTCATGTGTGTGTGTTTTTAATATAAGTGTTGTGTTGTTTGTGACATATATCACTGCAGCTAGTGTGTCTGCATGCAGACAACGAGCAATTAATAAAGATTCGTTATGCAACAACGCACGACTATGGTAGCAGTTCGCATTGATATGGTTATACTAGTACTTAATATCGTGCTTGACCATAGTTTTGAAGAAATTAAGCTTTACAGACAAAAAAAAAATTAAAGTGACTTAAGTAAACGTATAATACACGACTAATACACGGACAGAAATACCAATACAGTCTAGAAAACTGTAACCAAATTATAAGCACTCTTAAGGTTACGTTAACTAAATTACTTGGCCGAAATATTTTGGTCCGGCATGTTATTGAAACAAGCATTTTGTATTTGCCTAATCTTCAAAAGTTTAATGTCTTACAGAATTATCCCCATCTGACTGGCGCTTAAAAGTGTAGAAGTTAATTTTTTCTTGGCTGCTTTATCAATTTTTTCTACTTTATTGCATATGGCTTAGTTGTCGAATTTAGCACAATAGCAGACGAAGTTCGCTTTCACTTGAATGTAAGTTAAAATGGCAAAACAATGCTAATGACAGCTAGCACTTATTGACTTCGGGATGCGAGTCAAAACCTTTGCTCAATGTTTGTCATATCACCCGGCCGATTTCTTGCATCGTAGCTAGCTTTGCATCCAATGAACTGATAGAAATCTTCAAAGGCCCCTCCGCTCTCTAAGCCGCCGCCATTTGCTGCTTCCTCAATGTTACCTGAAGTGCGAACCGCACTCTCTGGGTCACGGCATAAAATCTTCCGTTTACAGTGCTGCAGTGCTTCCACTATTTGTTCTCTGATAGATCTATTGAGCCAACCGTAGAAGAACGGGTTAATGGCGAATGATGCGTAGCCAAGCCAAGTTGCTATCAAAACATAATACGTGTCAATGCTCTGGAATGGACTTATCAATGAAATGACGTAGTAAGGTACCCAAAGACACAAAAAAGATCCATAGACGAGAAGTAACGTTCGGAATGCTTTGCATGTGTGAGGGGGGCTTTTGCTCGTTCTTACGACTTGGCTATGGACATGATCAGTGTTAGTGTACGCCCCGCCAGATCTGTCCGTCCCAGAAACGGTTGCTATGGCGGTCGTGCGATCAGTCTGCGTCGTCACATTGACAAATATAAATCGTTCTTCACGCTGAAAGGTGTTGGGGCCGTGGGGTAAAAACTGGCCCGGAATCGGCCCCACCTGAATTGCAGTTTTCCTCGCGACTTGAAGAATCCCAAAATACATGCAACCCATAACTACAGCCGGGATGCAAAAACAAAATATTGTCACCATTAAAACGTAAAATATCTCGCCAACCTTTGAATCAAACAGCGGTAGGCAAATGGATGGTCGTGGCTCATGATAATACCCTGTATCAGACATAAAATACGGAATACTGGAAAATATCAACGGCGGTAACCATGTTATTGTTATCGTTATTACGGTTCTGGAAGTGGTCAAATTAGCACTGTGGCGCATTGGAAAAGCTATTGAGTAGTACCTCTCTGCGCTAATAATGCACATTCCCAATATGGATGCGGTGTGCAGCATAACGTGTAGAAACCCCGTTGCATAACATAACTTATCTGTTCCCCAGCTGCCAGCTGCCTCGTGAGAATGTCACAGCAGCCAAAGGAAGAAGTAATATGGACGCTAAGCCGTCTATGCACGCGAGGTTCAGAACATAGGCATGTGTCAAATTCTTTCTTAGATTCTTGGATACCAGTATAATTACAACAAGGCAGGTGTTGCCGACAGCACCCAGGATGGTGATCAGCACCATGGCAATTAAACCCCCGGCTTCAGTCAGCGATTGGTCGCGGCCGTCTGTCGAATTGTAAATGACCGTGGGCATCAGTGCCTCAGCCATAACTGAACTGTTTTCCAACGGCAGCACTGTTTCATTGCGTGGAATTCCAGTCGTCGACATGATGGTTTTCAGTGACTACCTCCTCGCTTGTAATTGTTTAACATGTGTGGTCTGTGATTGATGGAAAAATCTCAGTCCGAGTGCTTAACAGACATTTGGTATACCATTCAACATGCGTTGCACTAAGAGTGTAGTGGGTACAAAGCCTGCGGTTTCTGAAAAAAAAAACACAAAAAGATTATGTACTGTTGCCTGAATTACCATGTTGCATTAGGGTTGAATGTACGTCAGTTTCAGAGCAGTCCCAGAGTAATACGCAGTTAACGTAGATTAAATATGCAAATCCTCATTGTTGGCAACAACATATCAAAGCAGAAAATAGAAAAATGTGGAAGTGAAAAATGAGGAAAAGAATCGCAGTTGTGACAACCGCTCTCAAGAGCAAGAAGCGTTGCATATCTATGCCACTTATTGTAAACAGATATCTCGGTTCACAAAAATTAAATTCTGTCGTTTTATCTTATCAATCCCATGGCAGCTCCAAACGGATCAAGTTAGGAAAAACATACCATGTCCCGGTTTCACAAATAAATAAATAAATAAATAAGTCAGGTTCCCTGGCTAATAACTGAATTACCAATGTTACATGGTCACATGGGACATTTGACCCTTTCAGGATCAGTGTAACAGCACTCTCATGGAAATCCCAGTCAACTAAGCCAGGGAACCGACTTAATTTTTTTTTTAACTGGGGACATATCATACAAAATCAGCTACAAAACGTTTGGCATGAAAGTGGAAATGTCTGGAACTCAACGCTGGTATCTTTATAGCAATGACAGAATGACGTATACGTTGGCTCGAATTTCAATATGAACAAGGTGAATCTCATTTATCTTTTTTTTTGTTTTACATGTCCTGTCAAACGCAATCCCCAAGATTCAGAGACTGGTTGGTTACGCTTACAGAATTGCAATTTGCTCAGAAAAACATCCAATTTGCTCGACTGAAGGACACATCATATGACTGCACACACACACACACAAACACACACACACACACGTATTTAAAAATATTGGTACAACTTTTGTATATTTTGCTGTAATAATGACGTCTACGCTGTGAATGAGCTAAAACTACCTCTCTGAAGAGCAGGAGAATCACAGAACAACATATAAGCACATGCAAGATGTCCATTTTTTCTTCAGCACTTTGGCTGTGACATCGGTGCAACAGTCCACTGAGGTGTGTCCAAAATCGACCTAACTTATTTTGTAGTACCCATAGATAAAGTGAAATAAACAATTCCTTCAAAATCAAAGGGGATTTTGCTAAATTGATAGAAATTGACCATATTGGAAATCCAAAGGTGCACCAATTCATTAAACAACAGTGTACATCTGCGTTTTTATGAGTTGGACGTTACATTTTGGTTAACTGGCCTGTCTGTGTACGTGCGTGAAAGCTTACGTGTGCGTGTGTCATATGCGTGTGTGGAGATTCAGAAGCAGACGGACTGGCAAGCTGCCTTAGCGAGAGTACTAATGACTGCGCATGCTTGTAAGTTTGATTATATATTTATATCCTTTCACGTTTTCAAATTGAGACCACTTATTTTCTTAATATATACCTACTTGTGACAGAATGTATACCAAATTATACAAAGTTAAACTGGCTTTATTATTTTTCTAATTTCATGGCTTCATTGGTGATTATGAGAGAACTTTACAACGTTGTGCGAAGAAAATAGGAAAATATAACAATAAAAAACGTAAAGTTCCATATATGAAAAACTTATGGGTCACAGTATTGGTGAAAAGAAATACGTAAGTGGACATGTTGTACGGTGTCGCGTATCTGAATCATGAAGAACTCAGCCTTTTAATCACATCCCCGCGCTCTACCTCACAAGCACGGGTGCTGTCTCAGTATACGCTGAAGTCAACAGCTTTAAGATATATATTACAAGAGTAAGAGTCACTGTTTTCAAGAACGTCAGACATAAGCATATGGAGAGCAGGGGGTGTAACCTTCACCCCTACCCCATTCCCACCATTCCATTTATAAACACACACACACACACACACACATACACACACACACACACACACTTCAAATTTACTTTCTACGTGCATGCATACAGTGCCAGCTTTCGGATGTAGAACAGCAGTAGAACAAGTCAGACGCGATCAGCAGAGATAAGCTCATTTACTTGCTCATTTAATCTGGGAGCTTTACCGCAAAGATAAATTAGAGATATTACACCGTGTAAAGTTCCTTTATATCATTTTTCCAAACAATCTTCTTAAATGGAATCTGACCATTAAGCGCGGGCTTAATAATGTGCTTAATCAGGAACGCAATTACCAAACATGAAATCTCCAATGGTATTTTCCGATCCTACGCGTTAGTCAATGTTTTCAGAGATTGACAGAAACATTGGTCATCGCGTTAATCTTCTTCAGACAGGCTGACCAGTGGGGTGGTACATGTATTAAATTAAACTTAATGCGGTCTCCAATGTATTGTCTCAGATTATTCAGCCAGTGTGGCGCTTCCTTCTTTGCAAATCCGCTATAGACAGAGAACAAAATGTCAACAGGAATATGTTACAGTTGACATTTATCAGTTTCTATTTTACCCGTCTCAAAAGTGTTGAAAGGTTAATCTTACTGTACTACAGTGGTGATACACCAAGAACATTAAGAACAAGGTGTACACATTTCAAGGTGTCTGCTAGCCTAAAATTTATCTATTTTCGCAAAAAATGAGTGTCCGCTTAGAAGGCGTTTTTCTAATTTTGATTTCTTTTTGTATGCTCAAATGCGAAGGTGGAATAGTGTTAATACAGTGTAAAATCTTATGGGTTGCTCCCTTATCAACATCCTGGTGAAATAGAATTAAATCGCCAATATATCTATCATGTAATTACCTTGGGTATATTTGTATTGACAGCAGCATTAGAACGGATATATGACGCAACCAACATGCATATGTGTATATGGACGTCTGTATGCCGCCTCTTCCCATAAGCATGGGAAAATGTAGGGTTAAATTGAATTTTCTGATTCGGCGGCCTTATGAAAGCTATGCCGTGTTGCAGCGCTTGATGTACTGTATGTGACCGAGAGAGCGCGTCTCATTACCATAATGGACCACTGCAACTGAAAACGGCGAGACTTATAAATCGGTATTGAGTTTTGTGCTTTCTGCTCGATCAGGTAATGACGATAATTCCATCCTGCAGTCTAGAAGTCAGCTTACAAGAGCAACTTAATCAGCAGAATAAGATAACATTGGAATCTGTGTCAAATGCAACTGTAGGTTCATAATAACACATACTTACTTCGAGTTTCGGAAGTTCGAGACAGAGAAACGCTTTAAAAATGTGTACACATGAGGCATCTGTACATGAAAGGTTCATAAAACATCTACATGAAAGGTTCTCCTCAACCCATGCTTTTCCCTGTAGTTAGCAAGGTCGAAAATTATTGCCGGCAATCCTGGATATTAATAATATACCTACACTTTTTTTTCAGTATTCAGTGTAGCATCCCTATGAACTAAACAGACCTGCCTGTGTGGGAATTTTGCCTACTCTGATTTATATCATGATTTGTACCATGGTAATAGCTTTTATCCTGCTAATTGATTTATAGCGCATTAATTTATGTATTTTTGCATATATGTATATATATTTATATGTATATACAAACACCCTACCATCCAAACACACAAACGCGCACCCTCTCTCTCTCTCTCTCTCTCTCTCTCTCTCTCGCACACACACACACAAGCATACACACTCTCTCACTCACATACACATACACAAACACTTCATATAATTGATATCGTTCTTCCTGAGGCATGGTGATAATTCCACGTCTCATTATCACCATAAATCATGCTGAAAGACATGAAAAACGGATATGTAGATATATTTTTCTTCCACCAGGGCAAAGGTGTGCAGTTGTTGGAGACCATAACAGGTCTTTTTTTTTTTTTTTTTTTTTTTCTGAAGGCTTTAGATTACTTAAAACGCGAAAACTAACATATTTGGATATGGAAGCAGCATTCTTACTAAATCTTGAGCAGCATTCTTACTAAATCTTGAGCAGTGAGAAGCCCCACCTCACTGTGCTGCACAAAGCTAGACCGTTTTGTGTGATACGACACTGAGCTATCTCTCTCTCTACCACAATAACGAAACAGAGAAATGTAAGTTTAAAGAAATACACAACACTTGGAGGCAAATAATGTTAAAATTAGATAGCACGTGTATATTTACCAATGAGGAGATTGTTTAAAAAACCAACCTTTTTAATTTAGCCATCTTTTATGCCCCTAAAAACGCTATTTCATACAAACAAGACTATTTTAGTGACAGTCTTTCGGGGGAAAAGTGATGATAATATGCATCAAGGCGTTTCTAGACAGAAGTTGCGAAACCCCGCAAAAGCAGCACGCAGGTTGCTTTTAGTTGCAATCAAGTTGTGGTTTGTGCTTAATGCATCACGCAACTGCCATGCGTTTTCCTATTAGGTCCTGTAACCTTTCGCAGATTTATTTATATATGTGTAAAAAGCTACGTCATGTAGCATTTAAGGTGAGAGGAATGTATTTTGAGGCAGTAGCTAGTAAATAATAGGGGAAAAATGAGGTGATAGGCGATCTTAGGAATTGTCGATGTCCAAGTTCTATGACAACAGCAGACAACATATATGAGGTGGTAATAAGTCCCCTTTACTTTTAACTGATGGCTTAATTCATTGTAAAAGTGTGAAGGGAGCACAAAATGTCGACCTGACATGAAATATGGCTCTGAGAACCTCACTGATTTTTGTTTTCTATGTTCAGGGATGGACGGTTTTGATTGGGAAAGGGAGCACCAATATTCAGACCAGCTTGGTTATTCAATAAAAGAGACAATTTGAATGTAGACAATTGTGTTAAGATTTCAAGCACTTTTTCCAGTTTTGGAGTGATTTTGTTTATATCTTTGTTTAATCGTATTTTTGTATTACAGCATATAGGGGATGAATTAATGATTAAAATGATAGTATAGGCTACATTTCGTAAAAGATAAAACTGGCGTAGACGAAATTCTTGTAAGTTCTGTTCGAAAACGAGCAAATTTTATAAGAAGTCCAGGGTTTACTTTTACGGCAGAAAATAGTCCTTGAGGTCAATAATCTGGTTTAGTGTGGTTTCATCACTTGTTATTTTCTAACGAAGGTAATTATAAAGTAGAAGGTCGACGCAGGTGGCTCTTGTATATTATGGAAATAAATATGTTCACCTATCATTCTATTCACAAATCTACGTTAGTATGTATGATGATGAAATTATCGTTTTATGATAAGTTTGGATAGGAAACATATCGTCACATATGTATAGGACACCTGTATAGTCGATGGGGCGCGTCAGTAACAGTATGTCTTTCAACAGCAATTAGGTCTACTACTACTACTTCAGCTCAAGGATAAATCACTATTGCTCCAACTTTAATTACAAATGAATCTGAAACATAAGCAATATCTTTCTTGCTAAGAAACAGACAGAAATTTTTATTTGATTTAAATTCTATTGCGGGGAACTGACATTCGGAAAATCTGGATAAATATTCGGGTAATTTTGCTAAACGGGTTCCATGCGTTTTATTTAAATGTAATCTTGCAGTCAAAGAATCAAGCAAAAAGGTGCACGCTACCTTTTGATCAACACTGTCTGAAAAGGCTTCCCTGAAGAACAACGATTAACAAAAATGAGGACGTGAACAAGGACTGTATTACTTAACACGCGTAGGTTTGCTTTACGTAACAAGACCGTCTTACTCTGCCTGTTGTCTTAAATAAGTAAAATAAAAGGTTGCTTTGAGAGAGGGGAGAAGGGGAGTTGTTTTTTTCTTTCAAGTTTCAGTTCATTTTCTTTAACGTGATTTTAGAAAAAGCAAACGCATAACATACCATTCTTCTATTAAGAAAAAGGTAATAACGCGTAATCTTGCAGAAACGGTCGCGATGGAAGATTTTTCGGTAAATCTAAATTCGTGCCTGTTGCCATCATTTTCCTTATAAAAATTACTTATGGTATCATGTCATACAGTTAAAAATGTTGGTAATAAGATTTAAAGTTGACTTAAAAGTTAACTGCACTCTTATTTCTGCTGCGGCACTTATAACGACGACGCACTAAGTGCAGTGTATGGTAGATTTGAATGGTGGCATTGTGAAAAGATGACTAGTGACTTAGAAACATCAGAAGACTTACTGTGCTGCAATCCTGGTCCGAAGATGACATTATTCACCGTCGCAACGGGGGGAGTCCTGTTTTTTCAATCTTCTCAATATTTTCCCAAAAGATTATCAATGGCCACTTACCATATGCATTTGCATGGCTTACGTGCTTATTATAATAAAAACCCTCGCTTTTATACCGTTGACATGAGAAAGAAACTCGGCACGGCAGAGCCTCGTTTGCATCTAACGCTTCTTGGCCAATGGAAACACTCCATTTTAGACGGCATGCAGCACATGCTTTGTCACCTTGTAAATATGACAGTGCAAAAATCCAGGGTTTCATATAGCGTTGCTTAGCAGGAAATTTTACCTCACCGTTTTATTGATCATTCTCGATTTCCAATCTTATGTTAAATGGCAGCAAGTGAGAAGATTTTCAGAAGAGCTGGGCTGTCGTGCAAAGACCTAATCAAAGGTTCACGATTTAAAAAAAAACATGTTTCTTGCATCTTTTTTCCCCCCTACTAGGTCAGCAACAACATACGACACACATGATCCTTGTGGGGTTTTTTCATGATATCCACAAGATAGACTTTTGTGCAAAATGTCACTATACTAACATTCTCCTCTGCAGCGGGATACAGGCTTTTTCAAAAAGCTTGTCCCATCCTAAATGCAATGTGTTTTTGTTTTTACATGATCATCACACATCTGTAAACCATTATGAACAGTGTTTGTATTCCAGATACCATATTTTACATTACTCATGGTACAGAAATCAGGATATTGCTGACGAATCAGGATTTTTCTTGAACCCCATCGATGGTCAAATTAGAGTCCGTAGGCATGTTGCAAAATGTCTTTTTGAGGAGCGTGTGCAAAATAATATACAACCTGAGGTGCCGGGTTAGCCCGCTTGGAGAGCATTCCATGCCCATGATATTGGTACATTGTTCCTTCTGGAAAAGAGCGTTACTGGGCCATTTTATACAGTAACATTCTCAACAGATGTCTCACTCCATTTGCAAGAGGTGACTTCAGGGATACTACAGGTTTCATTGTGATAATGCACTTGCTTACAGATCTTGTCTGGTGAGTGATTTGTTGCAGAAACGCACTGTTCTAAGGATGGAGAAACCATCTTTGAGCCTTGATGTTAACACTACTGAGCACTACTGATTTTAACACTACTGACATTTAATATCACTATAGAATGAATACAAAACCGTCTGCACATCATTATAGTGATTCTTCGTGAAAAAACAAACTCAAAACTCATTGGTTGACAAAAAAACTTTAAGGATCTTTAAGGCGTGCAAGCGGGATATTTTCATCATCTGTGGAACACGTATAGATGCTGACTGGGAGGAAGTAAGGGAGTCCCGATAGCCTGGGAAAAAGGCTAACACTTTATATACCCCCCCCCCCCCCTCATATACGCATATGTCCTCACAAACTGTTGACCTGCAAATGTAATAGATGCACGCAACAATCCAGGTTTTATTCTAGGTTCAGGTCATGATCATCAAAGTTGAGAAGCAGCCCCCCCCCCCATTTAATATACATGTATCGGCTATGATTGCAGCATTCCCTTCTAACGACACTCGTTTGTATCTTATAATGTGAAATCCGAAACTAAATAGAACCAGCCGGGTACTATTTGCATAAATCCAGCCTGCGTGTTCACTAAACCCAACACCATCACCTGATGGTTGATTACCTTGGAATATGCGTGGATATGGACGCATGGTTTGCTGAAATGATCCAAGATGTAACATGTCATGCACAGATATGCAATGACCATGTTGATGTAAATTATATAAACGCACAATAATTTTCCTGTCCAAGATATATTTGATTAATTGCACGGTGAAATATCGGCAAGAAAACTTTAAAAAAACTTTTCTGGCAAGGATACTATTATTATTCATCATCGCATTGAAAGGGGGCAACTCCCAACTTTAATGGGTTTTGACAACACCATGAAAGACACTATTACAGGGCAACAATATTTCTTTAAAAGTCAGCAATCTTCTCTTTGTGACCAAAGAATAGCCTTTTAAAAATATTTGACAATATTAAGATCTATTAACTCGTTTTTTAGTAAATATTTACATTTACATTTACTAGAGTGATTTTACCAGGCTCTACCCAGTATCTCCACTGCGAGATCAACCCAAAAGCTAGAGCTCAAGACTGGGTTTATGGATTGTAATTCTGTGTAGCGTGTTGCCTATACTCTGCGATGAAAGAAAAGGCGTTAAGATTTCCAAGAAAGAAATTGCTATATAAAGGTCTAAAGCTCATAGCGTTGGCCTTTAAAAGTGCCAATGCCTAGTCATAAAATATCATTAGTAAGACCCCAGAGGAAAAGAATATCTGGCATAAAATAAAACATAAGGAATAAACATCTGCTATCAAGATCTCTAAACATTTGGGACATCGCAAGAATTTGTTTTGCAACACTTAGGCCTATTGCTTACTTAAAAATGTTATGTCCGGAAACACATGTAAACGGGGGATTGGTTACTGCTGGCGTGGAAACAAAAATAGTAAAAGAACTGTAGGTTGACACTCAGAAATGCGGTAAATCAGGAAAGTATTAGTCAGCAACATAGAACATGGCAATCTTTATAGAAGTCCAGGAATAATGATAGCCAAAATAGGCTACGACATTGGACACGGGCACTGACCATCACACGGGTGATGGTCAAACCGATATTATATTAAATCCTGTGCACTTTAATCAAAATTAATCACTTAAATAATATTATTTATTCTTGCAACAAAAAAATTTGGATTTTACATTCCTACAACAGAGTGATAAAAGTAACTACAGGTAAAGCACATTATGACATTATTCACTAAAAACATAAAAGAAGAATTCGCTGATTAGAATAATAAATCAATCTGTTTTTTGATAGTTCATTAGCATAAAATAAAGAATTCAATTATGAAAAATACATGTATACAATAAATCAGTTTCTTTCAAAGTTTAAAGAATTGAAGTTTGTGCATTAAAGTTTTTGAAGGCCCATGGGATAACAGTCTTTGCAGGGATACAAAAGTTCTGAAAGTGTCTTAGGCAATGTGAATGTTCTTTAACTTTTTGTAATGAACGAGTCAGTCTGTTGTCTTCCATACACATACTTGTAAACATTTTACGACATAAATTATTGTGCCTGTTTTGCAATGCAATAAGAGTTTGTCTTTTGTAAGAGATGTTTTGGACGGATTCGATTTTTACGGCTCGTTATTCCATCATTTGCCGTCGTTGCTACCAAATATGGATAACGACCTCGAACAGGTGGACTTCACACTTTTGGTGACTATTTCTTTTGAGGCTGAGTGGAACTGAATTATTTTGCATCTCAAAGATCATCTCCTCAATAATAAAACATTTGAACGGTCAGCTGTGTTATTGTCACTCAATCGGACAATTGATATGACCGAAAGTTACATAAAAAGCACACCAATAATAGTCGGATAATTTAATGGGAAAGTGCGTATGAGCCAACCTCTGTTAAGGTGTGATTACATGTACTTGATATTCACGTCATTCCGACAGTCTTTTTTCTTAGATTTTCATGTCCGGGACTGAAATTGGAATTAAATTAAAATGAAACTGCAAACCGGGGGTGACTTTGTACACCGGAGATTCATATCAAATCACCGTATGGATCACTAAGAGATAAATAATTAGAAATGACCATTTTTTCAAATCCCTGGAGAAGGCATAGGGACCGAAAACCTGGAGAGCCCCCCACCCTCCAGGACATTTTATTCATCACATTGAGAAAGCCGAGTTACCTTACGTACAATATCCCAATTAATGCTAAAACACCTTCAATACAAATTTTCAGAAAAAAACACAAAATGAACAATTTTTTTTCTAATTTTTACCCTCGACATGTATTTACTCTTCACTTCGATCCAAGGTAATTTTACAGAGAGGAAATAAATCATATTAATCATAGATAGAGGATAGAATTATAAGAGCAATTTGATAGGATCACTTGTGACGTATACGTTAAAAAATAGACTGTCGAGAATTAAGTTATTAATAACTTTATCGGAAATAATTCCGAAATACATATGTCAAACGCACACTCAAAAGTTTACCATGGCAAGTATCCATGTTTTTTTTTCGATATCATTTTTATTATCAGTAAAATCGGCACCAACATACATCACTTTACTCGTGGTCTCGATTCTTAAAGGCAGTCATTTCGAACTTATTTTCTGGGAATGATGGGCGCAAGAATTAGGCATTTTTGTGCGTCATACATGGAATGTTTCTCATTTTTCTTTGACCTTTTCCAATTTTTCTGAAAACAGATTTCGATTGCGTTTTAATAATTTTAAATGCTTTTCCAGGTTTCCTCCAGTCCGTTCTTTAATTGAATTAATCGATGGAGTATTACAAACGTACAGGGCTGATTTTAAGTCATAAAAAGAACTACTGAAAGATTGTTTGGATCTTCATATGAATGTCTGTTAAACAATGACAGGCTCCACAAAGTACTACCATAACTAAGTTTAGCCAGTGGTCAGTTTGGCGTCCGAATTCTACCAGGGCTGTTCCAACGGTAAAGCATTCCTTCTGACGGTTTTCTTAGAGTTTGGTCTGAAATAACCTATTTAGCATTGGCCAGATCTTTTCTGAGTTGGTACAGATTTATCTTAGGGCCATTAAACCATTGATTCGGCGGGTAATTATTGCCAACAGAATCTCTATGGGGTTCATATCTGGCAATCTTGATGACCACGGTGCATGTAGCTGCTGAGCCCCTTGGTTTGTGCATTTACAAATCCAAATACTGTGTCTATCTTGCAAAACAAAATCGTTCCTAAGGTGCCCTCTTCCATATGGGACGCAGCTGATTTACAGAATATTCCCATTATTTGACGTGGTTGAGGTTTCCATCGATGACTATCAGTGGCGTTTTGGCAGACGCTCCCCCACACGCCCCCCCCCCCCCTTGCTAAGTTTTGGATACTCTGACCGTGACCCACCACCAGTCAAAGCATACCTCTGTAAAAATGTACGGGCCAATTCTTGTGACACAAATATCTTTTGGGCAATGTCTCTCTGTTCAAGCCATTTTGACTTAGAGAAACAAGTCAAACCTA